AACGCGCCGGCCTGCGTGGGCGCGTGCAATTTGCATAGCTTCATTAGACCCGAGCCGCACAGACGGTATCGGCGGCGCGTTATCGCTCCCCTGAATTGCGTCTTAGTGCTTCGTATTTATATATTTATTTTTTAGTTCCTTTTCAACCTTTTTAAAAAATCAACAGCTGTTAATTAAAGCGCGCGTGAGGTCCCGCACCTCGATTATAATTGCGTTCAGATACTGTATTGGTCGTCGCGATGTTTCTTAATGGAGTCGATTGCGCTGCCGGTTAGGGATCATTAAGCGTAACAACTCGCCCAACGAGCATTGAATTTGTAACATTATAATCTGTAACATCGATGATTAATAAAATAACAATGCTAAATAAACAAAAAATTTAAAGCTAATTCAACAGGCAATAAATTATTCGCAATATTCAAGCCATGGGTGTGACATCTCGCCACCATCTGACTTGCGAGGAGTGTTGGCCAGCAGATGCCAACATCAAGTGCTGTCAGTTGGCCGAGGGCCCGAATGCCCTGCTCGACACACACAATTATGCGATAATAAAAATATAATTAAGTTAATGCTCGGTGCTTTAGTTAAAGGTTACGCGGATGGTTGCTGCGCACGCGACGGCGACAGTAACCGCCATCTAGTGATTAGATAATTAAAACTATAATAGATACAAGCATGCGTGATATCGTCACATAAACATAACATATAATATTGAACTCAAGCAAACACCTGCGATTAGTCTCGGCTACTTTTATTCATTCAATTAATTGTTTGGATTGTAGTAACATAGTAATAATATGTACTTAATTAAATTAAAATTAACAAATAATAAAATATTATTTCTTACTAATATTATAAATGCGAAAGTTTAGATGTATGAATGGATGTTTGCTAGAAGTTATCCCCGGTATGGCTCAACGAATCTTAATGAAATTTGGCGCAGATGTAGAACATAATCGTAGTAGTTTGATAGTACAAATATACTGTTATTTTCGATATTTTGTAGCCTCTCGCTAATTCCTACAAACTGCTGAAGCATGTTCAACAGCACGCTACTTACACAACAAAACAAATCTAAAATTAAAATTACAACTGCAGCTGACAAACTGCATTTGTTTCGTGTTCAACTTGATTCAAACGTTACCTTGTCGGTTACTACAACGAGAAAAAAACATGGATTCCCAATTAACTATTGCAAATTGGTTTTGAGAACTAAAAGAAATAATGAAAATTAAAACCTATAAATAACAGCTTATTTTATATACGTTTTATATCTACTGATCTTATTTATTCGAATTTAATTAATAATAATATAACTTACATTATTATATTTTGTAACTACTAGCGCCATCTATTGCATAAAAGTACAATGCTTTTGACAATGGCACCTTGTGTTCACTGTGCTAGAGTAAACTATAACATAATTTATTTTAAACGATTTAAAAGAAAATTAAAACAAAATATGTTATTGAAAATTATTAAAAAAGGTCACTCGAGCGATAATCGGTCCGGACTTGGATAATGAGATCGTGAGACGACAATGGCGGACAAAGCGGACAATATTAGATCTGCCTACACCCGGACGACGATTAACGTTCTCTTTGTGATCTTTGATTGCCGCCGCCAAGACGGGAGCGATTCCTTTTCAGCCAGATCTATTGAAATTCGCAATTCCCAAACCACTCTCGTCAATTTATTATTGGTCTAATAAACGTTTAAAGAGTATTGCTATTCACTAAAATCATTTTTAATTTATTCTATTGTAATAAATGACCTTCCATGTCGTTAGTAATTTAAGATGATCCACCAAATTAACACAATAAAGTAAACAAAGCCAGGGACACTTTGTGTATGTCACTGTGGCCGGTCGGAGACAAGTTCGAATATAAATAAAGATTGACAAATCAATAGTTCTAATTCTGTAGACTGGACAACAGAGGCTGCATATTAATCGCGACAAACAGATTGACAGGTTATATTTGCGAGACGCGAACTAGATGTCGGTCGTCCCAGTCGGTCCGGACTACGAGTTTAGACGTCAGACAGACAGAGAGACTACAACACGGATGTCAATCGCTCTACAACGCTCACATAAATTGATAATTGTTAGAGCCAATCGTAATGACTTGTTCACAACAGTCCATTAAGGTAAGGTGTGATAGTCGTGTAATTTATAAGTAATTTTAAAGTCTTTGTTTAAGTGAATCACTTGTTAGTTCACTCGTTTCGACAAAAATATAATGGGGGTACAAGTTGTCCGTGTCTCTGCGTCATGTCGCCGGATACACAACGAAACCTTCATTCGACCTCACCGCCCACGCGGAAAATTTAGTAGCCTAAATAGTCTAGAACCTGTACAATATATGTACTTATCTCTATGTTACAAACATCGTTAGAAATGGTGCAGGAAGCCATCCGTCATCATAAAATTTTGTGATAAAAATTGCTGGCATCTAAAACAATGACATTAAATATCAAAACATCAGTAAAATCTTCAACAAGAAATGTTTGCGTCATAGAGTATATCATCCGAGTGAATTACAAAAATGACAAGTGACACGACACGAAGCAGGAAATACCGCGATGCTAATTCGCGTCTATAAATCAGCTTAGATTTAACGTCGCATCAAAAGGCAGCCACATAAAGCTGACGAGAATCCGGCGACTGGCGACTGCGACCCGCGCGCGAACTTTACGATTACCCAGAACCCACTGACGGACGAAACACTGTCGCATAAATCAATTTAATCTCCTCACCAAAGACAATCGGTGCTGCTATTACTCATATCGAACGTGCACCCGCTCGATCGATTTACATATCTATCGCTCACAACATTCAGTCGCTTTTCAAACGCTACCAAACTGGCCGTTACGTCGGAGGCGCGAGAGTTGAGCGCACGCATGAATCAAAAGACGACGTCGTTTCTCGATTCCCGTCTCTGAATTAATGTCTAATACGGTACTGCGACCGTGTAATTGTTGACTTTTATACGGGACGGTTAGTGCTGGCGGTAAATCAAAGGAGGCAAAGATACAAATAGACGGCACCGCCGCGCCCTCTGCCGGTGCTGCGCGGCTGCTCAGCTGCAGTACATTGTCGCAACTCGCAATGCATAACATTTTATAAAGTTCAAGTATTCTGCGTGACATGGAAATAAGGAAGTTCCACAAGCTCTGACTACATCATCTTAGGCTGACAATGATTTATGTTTTTTCATCATTTACAATTGGCAATTATCATCGTAAGAATTATACATCGTAAGACGATGTTGTAGTCTGTAGTAAATTTAGATGTTATTATCCTCAACTGCCAGCTATAAAATGTATCTTCTAATATTGTTTTAAAACCTTAATCTTAAGATGTATATTCTAAAAATAAATATTGAATTATGAATTAATTCAAAATTAGAAGACAAGTGATTAATTTTTCAAGTATTCTTGAAGACAATTTCACAGCGAATGCATTAGACTTAGCCGGCTACGACAGGCTACAGACTACAAGCTATGGTTCAGGCTACAGGCTACAAGCGAGGTTGTCGTTTGAGGGACAAACCTCTTCAATAATTCAGCGGCGCTGTACGCTGTCACTCGGTGCTATTATAGAATTAGATGCACAACACCGGCCAGTGCTTATGTCCTGTGTCTTAAGTGATGGACGCCGCTTTAGTATTTAACAGACACGCCGGCAACAGCATCACTATCGCTGGCGATACTATCCTATTCAAATCTGTTAACAACCGACGCTCCAATTATATTAAATTTTAACTAATATTCTTGAAAACTTCTTCCAGTAATTAATTACTTATTGGTTATAAAGTTTTAACTTGGTTTTCAATAGTAGCTTATGTAAGAGAAGGCGTGTCTCGTCAACAACTTCATATTTCAACCAAACTATTGCTGCATCTCTTCAAATCTCAAATCATGGTTAAAAAAAGTTAGAAGCTCCACATATTTTACGTTGACATTATATTTGATTATTTTTATAACTAAAGTTAATTCACTAAATATTTTAACGAAATATTAATGTAGGTAAACTATAACCAAAAGCTGCTTTATTGACTATGAACAAGAAAAAAAAAAGCAAAACAGAGAAATGATTAGAGCAACAGTATAGTGCAATCCTGAGATCTGTTTGCGGTGAAATGTTAACATTGCGTTTGAGGGAAATAATCCTCGCAGATGAGACGTGTATGGACATGTGCCATGAATACTTGAACGGCCGTTAGATGTCGCACGAGTCGCGTACCAATTAGCCTTAGTCAAGACGCATCTGACAGCGCTATTACATACGTCTGCAGGACTTACAGCATTACCTGATGCAATAATTTGACAATCACAGAGAAGCAAATCTTCGATTATAATGATAACATTTGGTAATTGTTAAAACTAACGCCTAGAATAGTATCATAATCTATTCTTTGCTAACTTATTTAACAGAGAAAAACTATAGAAGTATAATTAATCTAATATTCACTAACCGTGAGTTTCTGAAACCAAAATCTGCGTTTAAAATACATTGGTGTTTCTGTTTTTTTCAAAGATAATGAATGACAGACGATATGTTGTACTGTCGGAAACCCATTGTAAGATAGCTTGATCAAAATATTATGATGAAACGTCATTTAATTATTAACTTATAGTACACATACTTAACGGTTAAATGATTGTTTTTGTAACAAATAATAATGTTCTTGCGATGTGTATAGAAATAGTCAAATATAGTTTTTCGTTTTTCAACACAATCCGTCTCGCTCAAGTAGAACGAGCACGTCTATCGTCGCGCGACGCCGCGGCAAATATTTATAGTGTTCTAGGAAATCCTAGCGAACCTGGAAATAGCATCACACATCATCATTAGTGGCAAATGTCGAATGTCCATCCACGACTTGCCTATACTTGCACCTAATGTCAATAGAATCGTAAGAAAAAAAAACAAAATAAATAAAATGTACATAACTATATTCTATTTTACAGTCTGTTTTATATAATGTAAAACTTACGTTTTACTTCGGTCTATATCATCTTCACTTTCACAGCATCCAGATCTGGAAAGAAATAAAAGTGTTAACACATAATATTACTCCACGTCATCCAACAATAAATGAAAACTGTCCATTTAAAATTACTTATTAGCAATTAATACCTCATATCCCTAAAATACCCGTTCCTTATTAACATCGTCAGGAAATCGGAAGCCCATTCTATACTATGATAGCTTTGCTTCACCTATTAACAAATATTTGGAAAACTTTATGTTTATAATCATACCAAATACAGATAAAAAAACAATAAAACTCAAGCATTAACGGTGCTATCGTTTATTTGGGGGATAAATTGGTCGTAAAATTTTTAGAAGCAACAAACACATTGCATTTATTTGTGACTTCGCGCTACAAGAATTTAAACAAATCTTTGTTTTAAAAGTTCATAAATTATTACAAAGTCGTAAAACTAATTTAATCAATGATGAACGTATTAAAAATACTACGGAATTGGCCATTAACTTTGACTCGGATCTTGAAGTAATCGGACAAATTACACAACTAAGCTATTAAATAACTAATATGATAAAGATTGCTCCTTAAGATAATATGATTTTTTAACTTTGAAATATTTTTAACTTATAAATTATCGAAGATTACATTACTAAATAGAAGATTATCTCAAAACGTCTTTATATTAAAACTAGTGAGGATGTGTCTCACTGCAGGGGCGCGATTTGTCGACTTATAATTCATTTTGTAACATCACTATCACATGAAATAAAGTATCAAGAAATAACTAAAACACGATCAATTTAATTAAATGCGACCCCATATGGGTTTATGAATGATTCATCGCAAATGAGAAAGTTCAAGAGCCTTATGAAACAAATAAACTCGCAAAGACAATAAAGCTGTCGATTACAGTTAGTATTTCTTAATTTTGTCTCACGCGACGATTCTGTCAATAATTATTATATTATGTCCGTTAGGCTAATAGATTTAAACTAATCATAACTATAATGTGTCCCAACTAACTGTAGTAACACTTTATCCTTTAGAATAACTAATGTCTGGGTAACAAGACAAAAAAGATGGATAGAAAGTTTTGAGTACCGATCAGTGTTGCGACATTTGACTTCGGGAATGTTCGAAAAAGAATTATAATGTTTTTATTTGTATTTGATAAGTCTGGGTCGATTTGTTTCACCGGTGCACCGATGCTCCCCGCATGCTCCTCCCCCCTCCACCCAGGCGGTTGTTATCGGCGACTGTCACGCAACACCACCATAAATCTTCTTGCAAACAACTCGTAAATACCTCCCTTCAACCTCAGCCTGGCCTCAGGTACGCTGACTTACTACCTATTCATTAAAAACTTTTAGCAGATTCAACTTTTTATATATTAGATTATATTAATTAATGAAATCACTGCTCCTGGCAATCAGCGAGTCAAAGTTTTTTGAAACTTTGCCGAGATTCATCAGTGTCAAATAGATAATTGTTTTAATACGGTAAAAATGTAAAACTTAATGGCTTTTAAGTAAAAGGTACACGTAAATATAAGGTTCGTAAGTGCTGCAACTAAATTATTTTAGACAACTCCAACCTTCACCCTGTTATTTCTGCCAGAAGATAATAACAATAGCTCTAGAGACATGTTTGTCATAAAAATACAGCACCCAGCGGTCCAATAAGCAATAACTCATCGGCAGATGGAACACGTCACTAATTAAAATTAAGTTGATTGTGCATCACAACTACATATTTAATTAATTTCTGGGCGAGCGCCGAGCGCCGGGCGCCGGGAGCTTCTCGTAAAACCGCCATAAAACCTTCCACCATTTGATTCCCGAGTCTCCGGGCTACACCGCGCCTTTGCACTTTAATCTGTAGTAAATCATACAAAACAGTTTGATACACCTTCAATATTTCACGTAGAATTAGTGCGTTCCATTACTTTCCTTGTTAGAGACTCAAACAGTCATATCGAGCGAGACGTTCCGTTAACCTTTACTATGTTGCCATTCTCTATGTATCGAATGACATGACAGACATATATAACTTGTCAAATGCAACTTTGTTTCATGCATTAAAATTAAACAACCAACTTCATGACAGCAAAAATAACTATGCCGGTGATTCAACAAAGCTTTCAAATTAAGAACTTGTGGCAACAAATCAATTACAATTTATGAGAATTTCATCTGATTTATAATAAAAGTTTTGATTAAGAATGTAAAAATAAAGACGCGACGAAAGCTAATCGTCTTTTGGTTGACAATGATAATTTTTAATTCAACAATTCTTCAAATGTTATAATTGTTATCGACATTCTGGGTGGCTGTGGTCACTCGCGCTTCTTTACGTCTCTATATTATCAAATTGGTAAGACGTTGCCCAGATCACTTAAGATATGAATATTTCTTAAAACTTTTCCGAGTAACGAGAAAGCTATTTGTGTTTATCGTCAAATAAGATCGGACTCGCGGAGACGATTCTCTGAATTATCGCACAAAAAGGCAAATCTATCGAAACTAGAAAGCACCGTTTTGTTCCGTTCTAATAATTTGAGGTAGAGATGACCGCAACAAGATCATACGTTTTATAAAGTTATAAAGTTCAACAATAGTGCAAAATTATAACATTAAGAAAAACTATCACGTTTTCCTTTGATACGGCCGCCACTGATAGTGGATTTTTGCTATAGAAGGCTTAAAGGCAATTGTAAAATTTCTTCTATTAATTTTTAAACGTATTATGTTATAATCTTAATTAAAGGGGACATATTTTTTAAATATTTATAATATGATTTTGTCCGTTGTGTGAAACTACGTGAGTGTCAGCGCGGGGAACATCACTACTCGAGCTCTCCGAAAAGTCGTGAAAGGAGCGAGCGAAGCGGACAAAAGATAAATTTGTTGTATCTATCGTATCGATTATGATGCGATAGAGATTTGTTCGCGGTTAACAAAGCGTTTTCCTATCAAATCACACAATTAGAAGTGATCGGACCGGCTGCGCTGTCGGCCGCTTTGTCGGCGCGCTGTCATTGCATTTGGTGTGTTCCGCTACGGCCCAAGATACTTCTACCTATTGATACTGCACAATCACACAATCGTGTATGTCTAATTTCTTACACTAATAATCTCCAATTGACCAACGTGCTGCTTATAGTGATTTAATGGTAAAAAATAGAGCCTGCTCAAAATTATTAATAGACAAATTAAAAAAGTTTTAAGTAATTTTATCGAAAGCAACACATTTCACGTAATTATCAATTTCTAAAATTAAGTTTTACTACTCATCAATATTTGAAAAGTGACAAAAGGAAGAGAGCTGTTGTGTTTGGCAACGCAGGGCATGGACAAGCGCTGTCGACTCAAAGGAATTACAATGATCGACGGCCGAGCGTGACCGGCACTTTGGTGGCGGGACACCGTGATAGCGGGACCACGTGATAGCAGCGTGATAACGTGACACTTGTACTCAATTAACTCATCATACGTAAGCACTGCACCGAAGGCCTAGACGTAAGTCCATTCTTTAAACTTTAAGTACTAAAAGTTAAGTTAAAATGTACCAAACATTGTCATTATAATATTTATAATTACTAAAGTAGATAAGAATGGAAATCTTTAAGCTAGAACTTAATGATAGTCTCCAAAAGCTTAATTATCATTAAACAAAGATTAAACTCTTTTATGTGATCATCTTAGTTTAAACCTTATCTCTGTATCAATGTTTTAAATCTGTTTCATTAACCTTTCAAATAATCGTCTTCAAATGAAACGGCAATTAAAAAAGAATGGTCGATAGTCCGTCACCTCACTGATAGCTCATTGACAATGTCTAATTTATATTATTCATTTATAACAATACTTTATTTTGTTATAATTAAAACTGTTGTGCGAGGCGGCCCCTACAATTAATTTTCTATTCTACAATAAAGAAACTTTTTATCAAATCTGCAAAATCCTTTCAATTTTCATCATTCAATATCATCCGCTTTTTTTGAATAATATTCTCCTACACACGACTTTTGTTAACTTTTGCTAAATGTTTAACGTGAAATTATTTATTAATTGTCGTAGTTTTAATCCTTATTTTTCAATATATGTGTTTTTCTATCGTAGTATGTATGCATACGTACATAAACTAACAATTCGTCAAATCGCCTAAGCGGACGAAACTCGATCGTAAAACAAACAGATCGTTCGAGAACAAATAGTAACTCGAGCCGTCAAACGGCACGTCTTGACGAAACCGCACCGTCATTATTATTGTATACTCCGACAAACTTATCTGGCCCGGTGGATAAAGAGTTGTTATCGCTTATAGCTTAATCAGGAAATATGTAAATGTAGAAAATTGCGCAGTAGAAATAACATGACACGATAGCTACAGTCCGAAGAAGATCTATCGGAATTTTTTGATACTGAGAGGGAAGCCAATGTGGTATTGCAATTTACTTTCAATTATGCCCACCGGGTCAGTTTAGTATGTCGGAATATATAAGATACGTCCGCGAACCGCTTCGGAGTGTCGCTGTCCAGTTGACACGTCTGCGATCTCTACAATGTTTATCTATGTGCTAATCGCTTGCTGGATATCAAGCGCTTTGTCAGTGGCCATTGCGGCACATTCCAGTCATTCTGGAGCCAATGTTAAGTTAATCAAGTAATCGCTGTTCACTTTTCATACTGTAATTTCGCTATCGTGTTAACTATACGTAAACTATCACAGAATTTTTATATGTATTTAATTACTTTAATTATTCTTCTTTTTTTTGCCTTATACAGAAATGCTGGCAAGTTATTAGATCGTTGATAATTTATTTTTACTGTTAGAAAAAAACATCGGCTTGATCAGATTTGTGAATTATTTGAATGACTGACAAAAAAAATGTTTTTCGTCCTTTTATAATCTTAGATGGCAATTGGCAGGTACAGCATCACTTGTATAAAAACGTAGAGTATTCTTCTAATAATGTAGCATCAATGTAGGTAGAGTCAGTAGTTGTGTAAAGTATCACAGACAAACACTTGTTCGTAGCGGCGCGT